CCCCCGAACCGCCCTGAGCCCCCCGAATCCCCCGATCCGGCCCCAGAATCCCCTGAGCCCATCATCCCCGAACCGCCCTGAGCCCCCCGAATCCCCCGACCCCATCACCCCCGAACCGCCCTGAGCCCCCCGAATCCCCCGATCCGGCCCCAGAATCCCCTGAGCCCATCATCCCCGAACCGCCCTGAACCCCCAGAATCCCCCGACCCGTCCCCCCGAATCCCCCGAGCCCATCATCCCCGAACCGCCCTGAGCCCCCCGAACCCCCCGACCCCATCATCCCTGAACCGCCCTGAGCCCCCCGAATCCCCCAACCCGGCCCCCCAAATCCCCCGAGCCCATCATCCCCGAATCTCCCGCTCGCTGCTTCCACCAGGAGTACGTGGGGGGACGGGAGCCCTCGGACCACAACGGGCGGGTGAGGGGCCCCTGATCCCTCCGAGCCCCCGAAATCCCCTGAAACCCCCATCACTGCTCCTTGTGGCTCCCGGCTCTTCTGCTGGTGCCCCTCACTCTCGCCCCCCCTCCCCCCCCCCCCCCCCACTAACCTGTGGTTCCTCCCCCAGGTGGCCACCCACAGCCTGATCACCGGCCTGCAGGAATACATCCGCGAGAGCTTCGTAAGTGTCCCCCCTGGGCTGGGGGGGCCCCGCTCTCCCCTAAACACCCCCCTGGCTGGGGGGGGCCCCGCTCTCCCCTCAGCCCCCCCTCGGCTCTCCCCCAGTTCTGTTCAGAGGTGGCCCGAGTACAGTGGGGGGCAGGAGGGAACAGCCCCCCCTGTAATGGTGGTGTGTGAGGGGCTTCCCGGGGGTGGGGGCATCGGGTGTGCCTGGGGGGGTCCCCGATGTCTCATGGCTGCCCCCCTCCCCCCCCAGGCCTCAGTGCGGGTGCAGGACGGGGTTGACATCACCCGGACCAACCTGGAGTTCCTGCAGGAGCATTTCAGCCGCATCGCCACCCACATCCTGCGCTGCGCCGGTGAGGAGGGGTTCTGGGGGGGGGGCTGTGGGGGATCCCTGCAGGCGGGGTTCTGGGGGGGTGGGAGTCCCAGGGGGAGCTCAGCTGGGAGGGTTCTGGGGGGGCTGTGGGAGATCTCTGGGAGGTTGGGGTCCTGGGGGGGGGGGTCGGCTGGGAGGGGGGATGTGGGGGATCCCCACGGGGTGGGGGTTCTAGGGGGGGAGTCCCAGGGGGGAGCTTGGCTGGGAGGGTTCTGGGAGATCTCTGGGAGGTTGGGGTCCTGGGGGGGTCGGCTGGGAGGGGGGCTGTGGGGGAGCTGCGGGGTGGGGGTTCTGGGGGGGGGAGTCCCAGGGGGAGGTCGTCTGTGAGGGTTCTGGGGGGGCTGTGGGGGATCCCTGTGAGGTGGGGGGAGGTTGCTGAGGGAGGGAGTTTGGGGGGGGGGCCCTGGCCCACCACTCACTCCTTTCCTCCCCCCCCCCCCCCCCCCCCCCCCCCCGGAGCGCCGGCTGCTGGAGCTGTGTAACCAGGGGCTGTTCGAGTGCCTGGCGTTGAACCTGTACTGCCTGCGGGGGGAGCGGGGCGCCCTGACCGCCGTCATCAACGACCGCATCGTGAGTGCCCCCCCGGGGCCCTCGGGCCCCCACCCTGTCCGGGGGGACCCCCGCATAGACCCAGGGGCCCCACCAGGGACCCTCCCTGTCCCCACAGCCCCGAGGGGCCCCGCCAGGATCGTGTAGCTGCATTGGCGCGGGACTGGGGAGGTCTGGGGGGGGTGGTGCCGCGGGAGGGTCCGGGGGCGCCGCTGACCCCCGTCCCTCAGCGGCGGCTCTCGGCGGACGTGAACCCCTCGCTGGTGAGCTGGCT